GCAAAATATATAACACTGTTCTAGTGGTTTTTGGATATTTTAATAAAAAAATCTTACATATTGTGCCTTTAAATGTGTTTCTTGTTCTTTAGAAATTTGCACACTTTCAATAATAATAATAATAATACTTTTTTTCTAGATTTTGGGTGCAATTTGGAGGGCGATTTGTTTTTATGGAAAAATCTAATATAGGATTATTACCATTAACTAAAACTAAAATTATAAAATAACATTTAGTTACTTGAAATAAAATATATGTTAACTGAAATTAAATAAAATATTAAAATATATATATTTTATCTCAACTAGTTGCCAAGTCAATGTTTCTCTTTTTTTTATTTAGTTTGATTTGATGTACTAAAATAACTAATAAACTAAAACTGAAATAAAATTAATAAAAAACCTATATAGATATATTTAAAAAAAAAAAATGAAACTAATAAAAGTGAAATATAAAAACAAACAAAAAATACTAAAACTTTGAATGAAATTAAAATGGAAAATAAAACTACTAATAAAAAAATTATTTAAAAAAGTCAAAATACACAACAAAATTACTACAATTTTAACTAAAATAAAATGGAAAATAAAACTAATAATAAAAAGTGAAAACAGAAAATACTAAAACTTTAAAATTAAAATGGAAAATAAAACTAATAATAAAATAAAAAAGTGAAAATACACAAGAAAATTACTAAAACTTTAAAACTAAAATGGAAAATAAAACTAATAATAAAATTTTAAAAAGTGAGAACACAACAAAATTTGTAAAACTTTAACTAAAATTAAAACGAAAATCAAAAATATACATAAAATAATAAATAAAACAATATATAAATAATATAAGATAAAAACTAATTCAAAATATGAATAAAAACTATAAGTATATGAATAATAGTAAAAATAACTTTGATCTAATAAATACAATATTCAATTAAAAAAATTTTAAAATTAAAACGAGACAATAATCTAATCTTTCATTTGTAAGGTCTTCTGTTTGCTGGATTAGATGAAAACAGACATTATCACATGACTACTCAAAACATAAAATAGTTTCAATGGATGTGCAATACTTAAAAATAACTCCATCATGATAAATAGCGATATAAAGTGATGTTCATGTGATGCTCTCACAGCAAACCTCCATCTGCTCCATATGGCAGTGACTTCCATTTAACCCTCAAAGACATCTGAAATTCTTCCATATGCAATAAATTAAAGATTTATTAAGTACAAAGCTTCAGGGGGGAAAGAGAAGGGAGAAAATGTTCTGCTCCGTGTCTTTCCTCGATTCGTTACAGCTGTGATGGAGCGCCGCTGATTGAGGAGCGACGTGAAGGACTTCACGACATGAAGCTCAAAGACGTCCAATGTCTCCAGAAATTAGCCGAGAAGCAGGAGGCATTTTCATCAGAGAACAGCACTGAAGATGTGGGGCTTATATTTATATTATATTATATAGTTTAGCAATATCACACCAGCAAGAGTGCTGCTTTTACCCAATATCTGCACCACTGCAAATGTGATATTGATTTTATACAACAGTTCAATTAGCAATAAGTTAGACACAATATTCTCTGTTTTTGCTCAATTTCACAAACAAAAATAGTTCCAAACAACCAAAGCCACAGCCGCAACACACGGCTGTGGCTTTCGTTACTGAATGAATCCGTGTTTTGAACGAATTGAGCGAATCAGTGATTCAGTGACTCGTTCATAAAGACAGTCACTTGCTTTGTTTCTGAACGAATCGGCCGTTTTAATTAATTGAATGAGTCAGTGATTCAGTGATTCGTTCATAAAGACAGTCACTTGCTTTGTTTCTGAACGAATTGGCCATTTAAACGAATCAAGTGAGACAATGATTCAGTGACTCGTTCATAAAGACAGTCACTTGCTTCGTTTCTGAACGAATCTGCCATTTAAACGAATCAAGTGAGACAATGATTCAGTGACTCGTTCATAAAGACAGTCACTTGCTTCGTTTCTGAACGAATCTGCCATTTAAACGAATCAAGTGAGACAATGATTCAGTGACTCGTTCATAAAGACAGTCACTTGCTTCGTTTCTGAACGAATCGGCCATTTAAACGAATCAAGTGAGACAATGATTCAGTGACTCGTTCATAAAGACAGTCACTTGCTTCGTTTCTGAACGAATCGGCCATTTAAACGAATCAAGTGAGACAATGATTCAGTGACTCGTTCATAAAGACAGTCACTTGCTTCGTTTCTGAACGAATCGGCCATTTAAACGAATCAAGTGAGACAATGATTCAGTGACTCGTTCATAAAGACAGTCACTTGCTTCGTTTCTGAACGAATCGGCCATTTAAACTAATCAAGTGAGACAATGATTCAGTGACTCATTCATAAAGACAGTCACTTGCTTTGTTTCTGAACGAATCGGCCGTTTTAATGAATTGAATGAGTCAGTGATTCAGTGATTCAGTGATTCGTTCATAAAGACAGTCACTTGCTTCGTTTCTGACTGATGTCATGCTGACGTGTGCAAAAAAACTCTTGCGACGGCGAGGCGGCTGTGTCGGATTGTGCAGTCGAGCGCAGTTGCTCTCCACCGACTGCGCTGATCACAGGCATGATGGGAAACAACTGACTGACGACACAGCTTAATGCTCATTGGTTTAGACAACCGTGATGTTGCAGTCTCTTCTAAAAATGTTTATTTCTTTATCTGGTTTCATGTGCTTTATGTATTTAAATTATGCATGAATATTCCCAAACACTATGACAGCGCGATCTCTGTGTGAGATAATGTGATCGTTGTCATGTTTCTATAAAAATCTAAAATATATGTTTGTATTAAAGTAAAAATAAATGATAAATAAGCCTTTCGTATGGAATTAAATAGCAAGCACTTTGAGTGTTTTGTTGATCATATTTATTTTTATATAAAGGCAACAGAACTGAAATTATATCATGTTTATTAGCAACACAGTATGTGAGAGAGAATAATGCGATATCTGCCTTTGAGCTCGTTGGTATCTGTTCACTTCGAGAGGTCAGAACTGTCCGTCTTGCCTGCGTTTATTTCACTCCTCCCCTAACTGCAGCAGCCTGCGCTCGCCATCATTTCAGGCAAGGCTAGGCGCATCTCAAACAAGCCTAATGGTTCAGTGACTCGTTCATAAAGACAGTCACTTGCTTCGTTTCTGAACGAATCGGCCGTTTTAATGAATTGAATGAGTCAGTGATTCAGTGATTCATTCATAAAGACAGTCACTTGCTTTGTTTCTGAACGAATCGGCCGTTTTAATGAATTTAATGAGTCAGTGATTCAGTGATTCGTTCATAAAGACAGTCACTTGCTTTGTTTCTGAACAAAT